GATCTTGCAGGAAATTTAAGTAAAATTATTTTTTAAAAATCACATATTGTTTTAAAACATAGCCACAAATGCTGTATTGTAGAAACAATGAATAATGTTTTAAGTATTCACTTCAAGGATCATGAAATCAAGAGCTTGCCTAGGTCTGGTTAAATGACATGCACCTGTTTCAAAGCCTGAATGTTAACTTCTGCTTGCTAGCTGGCAATAGGATGAAGGAAAGTTGATGAAGAATCAATGTCCTTTTCCACTACTATAACTAGGGATGGAATGAGGCAAGTTGTACCTTTTATAGGCTACAGGATTTTTTAACCTTCCTTTCTCTCAATTATCACATTAAGGAGTCTTTTAGGTCAGTAATGCAAAAATTCTGGAGGCAGAAGCACCAGACATTCTGTTGGATGCCAACTCACTGAGGGTTAAGTCTTCTGCGATTGTCCTTGTCAATTCTAGGAGATCAGTCTGTAAATGCCTGGCCTATATAGGAAAGTTCTATTTCAATAGTCATTCTATTTTGACAATTGTCCAGATATATAGTCTTAATTTCTAAGGACCAGCATGATTGGCTGGTTTAGTTTTCTCATATGCTGTCTTTTTCTCAAAAGATACTCCCAGACAGCCTGTTTACACAGGATCAACATATAGGTGTAACTGACCATTACAGTCAGGACAATTAATCTGATTATATAGGTGGACTTTCCTTTCCCCAGCACAAAGCATATTAAAGGTGGACCTGAGAAATGGGCCTATAGAAGTTTGATCCTAATTTTTACTTACCTGACAAGCTCATGAAGCTGCATGGATGTAAACTCTGCAGTTGGGAGATTTACCTTTCTGTGTCAGGGTTTTAACCTTTCCATGATAACCAGGTTAAACTCTATTTTTTGAAATTTCATTTAATATACTGAATCATGTTCAGCAGCAGTAAGACTCAATACTACAATTAAGAATATTTTTTAAAAATATTTTGTAAGATTTATTGTGACCCTGTGGGGTCCTGTTTCCCCCTGTTTTAATATATTAACATTGAATGAAATACTGACATATATCATAATATCATTAGTATAAATTATTGACAATAGTACAAGTATTTACATGATAAAGATTTATTATCTTCAGCTGGTCGTGAGGCTTGACAAAAGTCAATTTAGGAGGCATGGTAAATAGAAATTTAGCCTTTACTAAATGTATGACTTGATTTTGACTTTAACTGAATTATCAAAAATGAAGAATACAATAAGTTGTATGCAAAAATTTATATTTTGAAATTAGCTCTAGATTAACTTAATCAATTATCTTAATTTGGAATAAAGGTAGAGACAGAGTTTTTAAATTAGGAGTGGTGGTGGGCTTTACTAGGGGCATGAAAAATTATGTAAACATCTATCCAAAATAGAAAGTCAAATGCTAAATAAGCCTAGA